ATAAATTTGGGGTCGGTTCGAAAATCAAAACTTTTTTGATGATTTTTTTTAAATATCTCATTTCCGAAAATATTCAAATAAAAAAAAATTGAAATTTTGAAATTTAAGACGAAATAGATATTTACATCACTTTTTATTCCTAAACTGAGTTCGAAAATCAAAACTTTTGAATATCAGTTGTTGAACTTTAAACTTTGAACTTTGAAAATAAATAACGTTCTTAAACGTAATTTTTAATGAATGACCAAAAAAAGAGGCGGTTATTTTGTTGAATTGCTTCTAAAATAAAATTGAATTTGTAGAACAGTTGATTACAAACGTTTGTTTTAACAATCTTAAAATAAATTTTGCTAGTATGTCGCAACGATGAAATTCATAAAGCTTCCGTTTTGGAATTTCATTATTTATTAAACAAAAAAAGCAGAACAAATTTAAGACGAATCGATTTCAGCGGCACGTGTCGCTAACCTTGAAAGCTTGTCGCAGAGCAAGCCGGATTACCTCATTATCAAATTAGTTTCTAGTTTGATGAAGGCTGTGAACTCACCTGGCCGCTCCATTTTGTAGAATGATATTGCCGCTGTGCAGGTGGCCATGAAGTGGAAAGCCGCGCTCCTTTAGAAAGAGCAGCGCTTCCAGAATTTGTCGGCCCAGACGCTGCACTTGGCTAACGGGCAGGCCATTCGGCTTGCGTGTATACTTTCGCGCCCAGGGCTCGTTCCATTGGGCCTGAAAAAGGTAACGTCATGAGCAATCAGTTGTGCGGAGCTCAAAAAGCTTACTTTAAAAATAAGATCCTTGAGACTGCCGCGCGAGTTGAAGGGCGTAACCAGGCAGGCATAATTATGTGAGCTGTTGCGCATGAAGCCCAAATCCAGTACCGGGTAGATATACGGATGATGCAGAGATCCAAGTAGCTCCATAAGTATTTCCCTTGCGCATTCATCGGGCGGCAGATCCTCAAAGGCCACACAGTCCGAAGGCAATGGCAGCAGCGTCAGTAGACGATCTGTGCGCACCTGATTGCAGAAGAAGGGTTAGTTTCTCCGCGGATTCTTTTCATATCACAACTCACTGATGCATCATTGACAAGAAACCAGTTCTTGCCGTGCCTCGAGCCAATCTCATCCAGATGTGCAATAACCTCGTAGCGTCCATTGGCGCTCTGTATCCATTCCTGTGTGGCATTTAGGGCTCGCTCCCTCTGGGCCCGCTCTCGGGGACTGCGCTCCACAATGCCATTGCCGCTGTCAAGCGCTGAGTATTGATACTTTATGTTGGGTCTGCAAGATTGTTTAATTAGAATTAGAAGCCCTGAAGGAAAGGAATTCTTTCGAAAAAGAGCTGTCATTTGAGCGCATACAGAAAGAAATTCAAACTATGGATATTCAAATAGGAACTAGAACTAATCACAAAAGTGTCTACAAACTTTTGACATTCATGATATTATGCTGATTTATTTACATTACTCAGACAAATTTACCACTTGTCGTGTTTGTTAATTGATGAAATAGGAATATCAAATTATTATGTTCGCTTGATTCGATTTCAAATGCGAACTCAAGTCATGTTTATATCAAATTGTAACACCCAAGTAATTAAAGCTTTGACGAGATCGGAAGATGAATAAAAAATAACATTGTTAAAGAATTGCAGCAAATATATACACTAGCGTGAAGCTTAGCATAATTAGGAGTTTCACTTGACCACGAAATATTGTCGCGTGCTACATCTCACATGCCACATGACAATTGTAACAAAGTTAAGGGATAAGCAAGTCCTTTTTTGACACGCTATTTGACATGCAAAGCGCATCCTCATTCAAATTGAACACTGAAATGTTATAAAAACTTGTTGAATAAGGTGAAAGCCTCAAAGACAACCGACCAAACATCCACAGCGGGCAGGTGGAGAAAATGAAAGTTGGCAAATATAGTTTCGAAATAGAGAGAAGCTTGCCAAAAAAAAGTATTGCCCGAACTGTTAACCTGAAGGGCAGGTAGGTGAAGCGGAAGAGAAACCCTGCCTGCACAATGGCGCAGCGGAAACGGAAGCAAGAGTTGAACGTGTGTTTTTTTTTATACAATTTTTTTTTACTCTATTTGCTGTTTGGTTGTGCAATTTATGATTTGTTTATTTTTAAACAATACACCGACAAAAAGTTCGTGGCATATAGTGAGGGTCTAACGAGGGATTTTGGCCAAGTGAAAACTGAAACTGAAACTGAAAAAGGAAAGCGTGTCAAAACGATGGCAACTGCAGTGTATCGAGTTGCTGCGGCTTAATTGTGTGGTAGAGGAGCTAAAAGAGAAGTGACGAATGCGAGAAAGATAGCCTGTTAGCAAAACTCAAACTGGGTTGAAGTGTTTCGGGACACACAAACACACACACAAAATCAGAGGAGACAGGCTCATAAACAAACACTTACGGGCCACTCAATCAAAACAGAGCAAAGGTTAAGCACATCCTCGGGTTAAGTTTAACATGTGTTTGAAAATTTAATAAGGCAACGCCAAGAAGAAGAACAACAACAACAACAAAAGAGCGTGTGTTTCTGTGTGGCACAAAAGTTGGTCAAGAGGCTGGCTTCACTTTCATTCGTGTGGCTAACGCGACGTATACGCAATATATGTATGTACCCGAAAGCCTTTTGCGTCCGAACAACAGAAAGCGAAAAAGTGAAAAATATTGCAAGGCCTGACAAAACACAGCATTCAACACATAAACACACACACACACACACACACTCATTTTTGGTACATGTCTTTCTGAATGCCTTGGCCAACGTTGCGTATGCTTTATATTTTATTGCAGCTTTTTCAGCCGTGCACTTCGTAGTTTGTTGTGCTGTTGTTGCAGATGTTAAGTGCGAGGACCTTGAATGGAATTGTATAGTATATATGTTATGTACAGTGCACAAATGTGTGCATAGATGTAGTTTGTATTTATTTAAGCTAATTTTAGCCTAAACGCCTGCTGCAGCTGCAGAAACCACTAAAGTTTTCGCTTGTTCGGTTTTTTTCCATTTTGCTCGACAAATATTTACAGAATAACCCCAACAGGCTCTACATAGAAACCACAAATATTAGCAAAACAATAGACTGAAAAAAGTTGTGTATGTAAGAAATTCCGTTTGTTGGAAAATCTGAAGCAGCTTATACCATCAGAGCTCTAAACTGCCAGCTAAGCATGCTTCGCTATGCTATGGCCTTGATGGCATTTTGCTCTACAAAAAGGGACCAAAACAATCGTCAATAATTTGAACACATATTGCTATAGCAACACATTTTCTGAGCTCACCTTTCGCTGGGTTTCATAATTAACGTGCTCGAGTGTGAATTTTTTTATTGCATACTTAACAGCGCAGCAGCAATGAAGCTTGTGTGGGTATAGACACACATATCGATGCTCGTTAAAGTTCCCACAAGCACACACACACACACACATGTGGAAAAATCGCGCGCATAGCACACAAATAGATGCTTTGCACTCACACATGCGAACTGTAGCTTACGCTCGCTTGCACATTCATCACACGGCTCAGCACGCAGCGTCGGCACACCCACACACACAGGTATTCAGACACACTCCCATACAAATATAAGGGGAGGGGGGGGGGGACTTTCATCAATGCGAGTCGCTTCCCCTTTGCCAGAGAAATTTTCCAAGTTGATAATTTAATTTGCAATTTTTGTGCCTGCGTCTAATTTGCGCAGGTGAAAACCTTGGCAACTTTTTACCTGTGCAATTCTGGCCGCAGCTCCACCGGCGGCATATGGCACACAAAATGCATTTTATCATCACATTTAATTTCTATAAAGGGATATATTTTCTATGTGAACAAGGGCTTTTGTGTGCGCTTTTGCAGTTTGTCCTCTCATGACTCATTCAGGTTGTGTTTGAAAAGGTATCTTGGACTCGTTGAGTCTTCATTCATTGCGTTAATTGTTGATACATATAATTACAATTTTGACTTATACTTATTTAAATTCACAGTATGCTACCAAAATTGTAAATTTTCATTTCTGAAAATCCACTTGAAAACGTTTCGTTTTATTTTTAGTTTCTTTGTGGGGTATCAGCATTCGGAAAATCAAGTTCAAATTGTGAAGTGTTTTTTACTATTCAGTTTTTGTTTTTTTTTTTTGTGGTTTTGTGGTTTCTGTGCACTAGGTCTACGTGAAAGCATTGCGAACGCCATTAGCCGCTACTATTTAGCATGCAAAGTGCTTTTGGGCTACAAAAAAGCGATTGAAACAAAAATGATAAGGAAAACTGAACAGGAAAAACTCAACCAGAACCAGAACCAGCACACGAAAGAGAAACTGAAGAAAATGCACTTGAAATAGATTGGAATAAAATCGCAAAAGCAAACGATTAACGTAAAATTGAAAGCGAAATTTGCCAATTGTATGTTTTATAGTATAAGTCGTATAGTATATGTAGATACAATGATTGAGTTTCAAGTCTTTTTTTTCGGTGGGTTGTGATCGGATACAAAGATACAAAATTAGTTTGGGGTTAGAAATAAAATAAGTACATATAAATAGAATATGCAACCTTGTTGTTAGTACTGAATCTATGGTATCTCTACTTCCGGATTCCGCTGGCATCGATTTGCTAAAAAAGAGCCTAGCAAGATTGTCTAACCTCGCGCTAACCAGTGGCGATTTCTCCGAGTGCTCGGACATATCTGAGTTATCTTGCTCCGAGCTGGCCGACCGGTTGCTGTAAATAGAAGGACGCGAAAATAACGTACCAGAAATTTTGGAAAATTGAAGGTGAAAATTTGGAAATAAAAATAACGAAAATATTCAATAATTGTGATTTTGATTTTGATTTAGTTTCTTTTCTTTTGTTTCTGTGTGTTAAATTTCTGCGTAATTTGATTTTGAATAAGCTTCAATAGAATATATAAAGTAAAACCATAATCAAAAGATACTTGAGAAACCTGTGCAGTTACTGTGTGGCGTACATTGATATTACGAGTAAGCAGCTCATTTGGCTCATTTGGCGAAAACAGCTGTGCACACGTCCCATCTCAAGATAACCGGACTCTCTGCTCTATTTGCATTTACATTGTGTGTGTTTTTGCTAGTGGAATCCGGCGGACAGTTCTTGTACTCACCTACTGTAGATTTGGCGTCGATTGGCGGCTGACAGCGCTGAGACATCGAATTCGATGGCCGAATTGGAGCGTTTCAATCCGTTCGCCTTGTGCAGCTTCTTCATAATGTGCTTCACTTTTCTAAATCATCAATTCGTTTTGATACGTGTTGGGGATAAATATGAGGTGTGAAATGTGTGAGAAACAAAAAACAGCTTCATTTGCATTGGAAGTGTCGGAAAAGCTAAGAAACTGCAGAAACAATCAGTAAAATCAAATTTTATTGATCGACTGAATATACTTAATAAACGCTATAATTTTTTGAGTAATTTTTAAAAAATAATTGATATTAAAAATTATCTTTAGTTTTTAGTTTAAAAGGGTTTCATATAAACGGAATTTGTTTGTACTATAAAGTTAAAGTTACTTTTATCAAGACATGGTAATTAGTATATTGGACAAAAAGGAAACTTTTTATAATTTATTTGGTTGCAATATAAATGGACAAATTTTTATCATTTTAACGAGCGAAAATCGAATATGACAAATATAGTCAGAAAAACTATGGAAAAGGCATGGAACAAATAATTAAGTGAAGACGTTTTAATTTGTAGGCATGTGTTAGCTTTAAAAAAATGTTAGGGACATAATCTAAGATTCGATAAGTTTCGTAATTGGTTTTGCGACACTTCGAAATTGAGTTTGGGGTCAACTCACTTTTCCGGCACGGGTGGCCTGACAAAGGTATCGTGTCCGGTTACGGCGCTGGCGCGATTATCGAGTCGCTGCTGTTGGGCAGCTTTGTTGAACTTGAACATGGTGAAGGACTTTTTGGCGCTGGCCACCTCACAGACACGTACGATGATCTTGCGGCTGCTCTTGAAGACCGTGTTCAGAGTCTTGTAGACGAGTATGGACACGGACTTGGACGCGTGCGGGTTGTGGTTGTGGTGGTGCGGATGGTGCGGATGCGAGTGCAGGTGCGGCTCGCCCGTTGGCTGCAATTTGGGCAGTGGATTGGGCAGGGACTGCTGCTGCTTCAATTGATGCACTGCAGCATGCGCCGGCGACGACGTCGATGATTGTGATCGGGCGAAGACTTTCTGTACTGCAGGCTGCGAATGCTTCTGCTGCTGCTGCTGCTGCTGCTGCTGCTGCTGCTGATGCTGCTGCTGACGGCGGCAGCTGATGATAAGCTCCTGCTCCTGGCTAGGGATCGCTGGCGCGGCGATTTCGCTGCAAGTGTCCTGGTATCGACAAGGATACACAATGCGGTAACGATGTCAAGTGTGTATGTGGTTGTTGTTTATTTGTTGTTGATGATGTTGTTATTGTTGTTGTTTGTAGTTGGGAACAAAAGTCGAGTTTCGAAAAGAAATGGAAAGACATATGCAATAAGTTGAATAAAAGTTTTTGTCCATTGCACGCTGGGCGAACTTTTGACAAAACACAGCAACAAAAGGGAAGTACAAATAACGAACTGAGCAAAGCGATTCGTGAAAATAAGAAAATCAAATATTTCTGCATATTGCATTTGCATTCGAGGTGTCTCCATCTCTTTGGTGATTTTTGCTGACGTCACATTTAGCACAGTTCAATCGATCAGGTGTGTCTCTGTGTTTGTGTGTATTAAATCAGGTGTAAAATTTGCACTTGCGGTCAACTATGGGATGAACAATCACAAAAGCATTTGGCAGGGCCTTTTTTTTTTGTGTGTTCCATTTGAAAGCGATAAAAACCAAAAATCGGAAATCAAATTAGAATATTGTAAATTTTGTAAAGCGATCAAAATGAATACATGCGATTATCTTATCATAAATTTTATCAACTAAACTAACTTGCAGCCAATATTATTTGTTGCATATATTTGTATATATGTTTATTTAAATAAAATAAGCGATTCAATTGCTAAACTTTGCGTGTAAACCAAAATTCTTTGAGTGTATGTATGTGTATTTGTCAAAATACAGCCAATTATTGAATTGTGTGTTGAGAAAAAATAAATTGTTGAAAATGCTTGCTTGATTTGATGCTTTATTGCTCTTTTGTGAATTGTTTAATTTTTAGCCGACTAGTTTATAATTTCTTCTTTATTGGAATTTGGCTTTGGCATATTGGCTTCAAGCAAATTGCGAATTTACCTACCGATCGCTCAAGCAACAAAGTTTGCAATAGTCCAATGCACGACACCTATATCTGAAGTTCGATTATAATGTATTATTATTCGAATTCATTAAAACACGGAGGGGTAGTTGGAAAAAAAAATGAGGGAAATTGAGCGGTCAGTTTTACTAAAATGTTAGAGAGAGTGAGTGTAAAAGTTGTTGGTGGTAAATCAAATCGATATTATAAATAGTTGGACAATGTCTAGAGTAGATAAATTTCAATCAAGGTTTGACCTGTAAGAGATTTATTCAAACAATTAATTTTGCTCACTTAATCAGGAAGCTGTCAAATTTTCAGATTGCGAGAAATGCTTTGGTTTGTGCTTTTGCCGTACCACAATGGAAAAACTGTCTCCTTGTTTCCCAAAATTATTTGTAATTTAACTAGTCAAGTAACAATGACGATAAAAGTGGATATAGAATCGCGTACGATTCACTTCCACACTTAAATCGCAAGCCTCAAATTGTATTTTGGTGGATTTCGCGGCAAGTTTTGTTGCGTTGATTGAAAAGTATTTGTAAAACTTTGGAGCTTTTGCTGAATGCTATGGCAACACGGTCGAAATGCTTCATACGAGAAACCACAGCAACAGAAATAAATGCAACAGCAACAATTGCAACAACAACGGCAATGGCAACGGCAACACAATGACAAGAACTTTAATGGGCGGTTAAATAAATCATGCGCCCCGTTTGCCGCACCAAACAGTCATTTACAGTTACAGTGCACGTATTGTGGGTGTGTTGTGTAAATGTGTGTGTGTGTGTGGCATTGAGCACTGTGTGCTCCATGTGCCTGCTGTGTGCCACTCCCCTTGGTTAGAGTCTACAACATGTGCTTGCACGTGTCTTAGCCTCTGGCCTCTGGCCTCTTTGCCATTTGTCTAATTCTAATTTTACATTTTATTTATTTTTTGTTGCCTCCATTGTTGTTTTTTTAGTTGTTGTCTGTTGACTTAATCGTATTTCATTTTCGTCCAAAAACAAAAGCCTCTCCAGCCCCCCCTACTATGCCTAGCATTAGCATTTATCTAATCAGGCGTGCGAAATGCTCGACATTCGTAATGCCTTTTGCTAGCTTTTGGCGTTTGTTTTTGAGGCTTATTGATTTTCTTTTGTGCCGTTTTCTTGTCTTTCTGTTTGAGGTCAAGTTGGGAGACGGCAGCGGCAGGCAAATTTTCGAATCAATTTCTATTTTCCAGGTGGTCCCTGCCTGATGGCCTGCCATCATCCTCCCAGCCCCCGCCCGACTCCTGTACGATATTGTAATAGCTCACATATTGCTTGGTTGGAGAAAGTCAAAGGTTGTGTCAGGATATACGTGTTCATACCCATTACGATTATTGCATTATCCTGTCACTTTGTTGTGCCTTTGCAAATTAAATTGTCAATTTGCTTGCGGCACGAAATCGAATAGAAAGAACGCGATTCGCGGCGGGGGGCAAGACATTGAAACTTAACGAGCGTTTTATATTTTATAATGACAAGAGTTCTCTAAAATGTAAAAGTTCAACAAATATTATTGTTGCTTTTATTTTTGCAAATAGAGTGCAGTTAAAAGGCGAACTACTAACAATTTATTTTATTTTCTATTTTAATCAACCGGAATAAACGCGCTGCGTTAAATGTACAAGACCCTAATTCCCATTTAACATGAAAGAGCCTTAGAGGATTTCAAAATAAATTTTGTTCAAAATAGAAGAAAATAAAATGCTTAAGTAAAGTAAAGTTTTTCTTTGCAAAATATCAGCCTTTTTTTCTTAAAAGACACAATTTGTTTTGTTTTTAAATAAAAATTCCAAGTCTTTTGTAAATTATGAAAATTCATTTAATAACTTTGCTACTTTCACTGAAACACTTTGCATTATTTAAGCTCGCAGACAAGTTTTGACAGCCAACAAAATGTCAAAGGGCCAAAAATTGAATTGCACATTAAATATAATGATGGCAATGCGGTTGGATGTGACGGCAGGGGTAAGAAGGGAATTCTCATTTGGCCGACCGGTGATTAGCTTGGAAAGCAATTTACTTGCTTGGAAAAGCACTTGACACTCAAAGACAAGCACCTGCGCGTTTTATAAATATCCGGGCTTATTCCATCAACATTATCAACAGCTGCGCAGAGGAGGATCACATTATTCTCGTTGCCGTAATTTCTTATGAAAAGTTATATTTTTTAAATAGTTTTCGCTTGATTGGGCGTGTTCACTTAACGGATTATCACTTGTTTAAAAAAGTTGTTTTCAGTTTTGTCGCTCTTTAAACACGCACGTGAATTTCTGTGGTAGCTCTGTTCGAGCTAAACAAACGCGGCCACGCAGTTCGTCGGGTCGTCAGTTAATGAAGGTACATTTCGAACATCGTTTCGGTTAAAGCGCAAAAGTATGAAATTTTCTTTTTATTCCAGTCCGACGCCATGTCCGTCCGTATATCTAGCCGGGCGACCACCTTTGTGGGTGGTTTCTACGAAATGTTTGCGTGCCTCATATCAGCCAGGTGCCTCGGTGCCTCCGACGCGTGCTTTATTGGTATTGGTTCGGCTCTTGGACTGTCGGCCCCCGTTCTAACTGGATTATAAAAATTGATTTTTAATTTTTATGACAATTTCCAACTGACTCACGTCGCTATTGCCATTCCATTATTATTTGCTCGTCTTCGCTTAACCCTCGTCCCACGGCTTGGCCCCTCTGCAAACTTTTGAACCTGGCATGCCAGCTTGTTTGGCCTGACAATGGGCGAATAATTTATAATTTACCTTGCTATTTTACATAGCCAGGCAATCAGTTTTAATTGCTTTGATCGATCGTAGTGATAGTGTGTGGTTCACAGAAATAACATAGAGTAGGGCCTTAGTTTATGTTACTTTAATGAAGTGACGGCTTATAAAATAGACAGGATGTACATAGAAAAAGCCTGCTTTAAAATCGATGCCAAGCAATATATTCATGACATGTTAGAAATTATGTTAATGATTCATTTGAGTTAGTATTAAAAATAAACATTTTATCTTAAAACTCCTAGTCAGACGTCTTTCTATTTGGCTAATTTCTTTTTTATCAGCTTGCTTTTAACCACTGTGCGGCTATGGAGCCCAATGTGCTCTTCGTGACACATTAATCAACGCAACGACTGTTTACCTTTGTTGACCATCGCCTTTTGCCACAACTCCCCGTATGGACACATGTGTGTGTGCTCAGTTGTCGCAGGACATTCGTTTGTATGCAAATATTTCAGTTTGTTTACTGTTTGCCGTGTCCTTTTTGTGTGCTGCTCCATATGGAAATTGGAAAAGTTTTTCTCTACATACGTACATTACGTATACGCGGCGTTGGCCTTTAACTTCGCGTGAAAGACACTTACAAGCGAAACGAAATAAAACGCAGCCGATGGGAATCAAAAGCACACGCACACATTTAAACACGCAACACACCAAGGCATGGCATTTGCCAGTTGTCCTTTTGTGCGTTTGTCTTCTAATAAAATGTTGTGTCTCTGTGTGTGTGTGTGTGTGTGTGTCGTATAGTGCTGGGACGAGCTGGCGCCAACCATCGTAATAGGCCCCTGGGCGGCGCTCTTAGTGGTCACCACACCCTTCCCCTCTGGACGCTTTGAATGTCAACTGCGTCATTCTTGGTTGGCCAGTAGGTTTTTGTTTGGTTTTTTTTTCTTCTAGTTTGTTTTTGACAGAGAGCAGGCTGTGCCCTTTGCCCCCCCCACTTCCAGTGACCTTGTATCATTAACTTAATTGTTCGCAACCAGTCCAATTGCCGACTTGAATTATTCAGTTGGCTCTCTGTCCGGCCGAGTGGCAGCTTTTGTCTTTTCTAGTCTTTGCCAGTCTCTGAATGTACTGCAACCCCTTACCCCCACGTGGCGCGCATTGTTGTTCTTGTTGTCATATTCACAGGCCTCCTACTGCCCCCCCCCCCCCCCCCCCCCGCCATGCCTGCACGTTGTCCGCCCGTTTCTCTCAGGGCTTTGACAGCCACGTGCTGCATGGCTTAGTGCGATGACAATTTGACCATATCTTAAAACTAAAAATCGGTTTACAAAGCCCCTGAAAAAGGCGTAGAATTGGCTCCTCGAAATTATCATCAATTTTCTTTAATTTCATGAGCAATAGAAAATATATTGTCGAGACTCGGAAATGTTTACATACCTGCATCGTCTTATCCAGTATGAAATGACAACGATTCCACCTAATATTAAACCTCCCAAGGCACACCAAAATAAGGTCTGAAATGGACAGAAAATAAAGAGTTATAAATAGCTGGTTGACATTTAAACATTGAATAAAAGTAAACGAAGACAAACGTGACTGACCAAAGTATAAAATAATAATAAAAGTGTTGCAGCTATTCAAACCGACTGCGCAATGCTCTATTTCCAGGGTAATTACCCATCAAGTGACGAAAAGAGTATTCCAGATTATTGTATTATATTACATCGCGTCCATTCTTTTTAAAGAAGTTCAACCTTTGACTGAAATCGGCTTGGTTTGATTACTTTGTGTTGAAAAAAAGTGTCATTTTATGACTTGACATCTTAATTGCCAAGTTTAGGGCTTTTGTATTTAATAGAAAGATTAGCCGAAAAGGTTTCAATCATTCACGACATTTAAAGTTATCTTCCCTTTCAATTTGTGGCAGCCAGGTCAGGTCATATCATCAATTTGGCAGCCCCAAATGTCAAATGCATTGGAATTTTGGGTCACAGCGAGGCCAATGTGTGACATGGCAATATAAATCAGTTGGAATCTGTTAAATCTCATGCCAAGCTGGATGATTTATTAAATTAGGTTCTCGGGCTCGGATAATAATGTCAATTTCCTGATGTGAAAAATCAACGAAAATTCTCACAGAATGTTCAAAAATGTCAAGCAGTTAATTAAGTGCATTGCCCTTTGCATTACATTTTTCAGTTTGAGCTAAAATTATGTGTAATGGGCATGAAAAGTGCACTAAATGAAACCATCAAGAAGGTCTGGCACATGACGTCGGCAAGTTGCTCGGCAATTTGTGATTTTCCAACAAATTCAGCACAATGAAATTCTATTGTCGGCGGCTATTGTCTTTCCCCTTTTGCTGGTGTAAGTTCATCTGAAAATGGCAGTCTGCCAATCTGATAGAGGCGGGGACGAGACACAGACTCAGTCGTTTCCACAATGGGATGCATTTTGTACGACTTACAAAATATGAATGGCGCCATAATTGCGAGGAATTTGGCTGGAAATTCGCGTAATAATCCCTTTTGATTTGTCGCCTTAAATGTTAAAGTAAACAAAGAACACAAAAAACAAATCAAAAGCCAAGTTCAAGGCAATGTGAATTATACTCACAATCCAGTAGTGCGTTTCAGTATGTTTGCTTGAATTCAGTTGCATCGCACGTTCCTTTCATTTATGCACGTCACAGTGGGTCGGCTGAAATGTAAAAAACCCACTGATTGATGCAAAAGTTTATAATACAAATAAAAAATAACATATGTAAGGTTTCTTTTAACTTCAGTTGAGTAAGTTGAGGAAAATCTCTTCCAACGCCCACTCTTATGCAGAACTGCAGTTCATTAGACAACTTACTTTAAGCATTTACTTTACATTAGCGATAGTAAATGGATGCTAGGACAACCCATTGATTAATGCAAAAGTTTAAAATACAAATAATAAATTACATATGTATAGGTTTCTTTTAATTTCAGTTGAATAAGTTATGTTGTTCAAGGGAAATCTCTTCTAATGCCCACTCTAATGTATAACTGCAGTTCATTAGACAATTTACTTTAAGCATTTACTTTACATTAGCGATAGTAAATGGATGCTAGGACAACCCATTGATTAATGCAAAAGTTTAAAATACAAATAATAAATTACATATGTATAGGTTTCTTTTAATTTCAGTTGAATAAGTTATGTTGTTCAAGGGAAATCTCTTCTAATGCCCACTCTAATGTATAACTGCAGTTCATTAGACAATTTACTTTTAGCACTTGCTTTACATAAGCGATAGTAAATGGATGCTAAGACAACCCACTGATTAATGCAAAAGTTTATAATACAAATAATAAATTACATATGCATAGGTTTCTTTTAATTTCAGTTGAATAAGTTATGTTGTTCAAGGGAAATCTCTTCTAATGCCTACTCTAATGTACAACTGCAGTTCATTAGACAATTTACTTTTGGCATAAGCGATAGTAAATGAATCTTAACACAACTCACTGATTAATCAAAAAGTTTAAAATAAAAATAATAAATTAAAATGTATGGGTTTCTTTTAATTTCAGTTGGATAAAACTTGAAATTTTCTATACCAAATCTTTTCCACTCGTATGTAGAAATCCACTCTCATTAGTTAATTTACTTTTACCACTTGCTGTACATAAGCGATAGTAAATGGATGTTAATGCCTACATCAATATCCGGATCATTACATTTCATTGATTTGTTTTACTAAATATAATTGGCAAAATGTAAGCAAACTCATCACACCCACCGATTCAGTGAGCCGACAGATTAGCTTCCCTCATCGAATTTCAAGAGCACTTAGTTTCGAGACGAGCTTCGCTAAGGACGTCCAGCTGGGCGTCCTGTGGAGGGGCGAGCGAAATTCTTGGTGTAGGCATGGGTGTGGCTGTGGGCGTGGGTGTGGGCTTGGGTGTGGTCATGCCAACGGAATGATTGCTTTGATTTACGAGAACCTGCTCGTTGGAGTGTTCCAGTGCGACGCCTGTGAAATTATCCTAGCATAGCTGTGCAATTATGACAGCCAGGCGCGTCTGTGGACGTCGGGGAGGTCTAACATCTTTGGATTTACTGAAACATTTTTGTTCGCTCTGAACAAATGGCAAACTGTTGATTTAGGCTCCGAGATGCTAGTCATGTTTTCTCGGTGTCGTCTCCCATCGCATCGCTTGGCACGCGCCCGACAATTCAGCTTTATACAGGGGACACATCACAGCTTCCACAGGGACAAGACAGATGTTCAACTTGTCTGCAATCTTTTGCATACTTTTCTTTTGACTAACTTACTTTGCAGTACTCCTATTAAAAGTTTATTTACATAATATTTTATTTACGTAGTTGACGAAATTGTAACTATACGAGAGCGAAAGAATTACCCACAAACAAATTTAACATGAAAATCGCATGCAAAACAAATGCAATTGATGGACATCGCAAAAAAAAAGAATACAAATGTCAAATTGTAATTTTGTTTTGTGCCAAAATTAAAAACAACAGAACAGACAAATTTACAAGCCTCGAAAGCTTTCCCAAGCTGCCCATTTGCATCAAGTTATGCACCCTTGTTTACAACGCTCGATGCCAGAAAAGTGAAAAGGGGCGAGGGGAGTGTGAAGAGCATGTGGCGCGAGTTAACAACTTTGCTTTATGATCGAAAAGTGGCCCAATAAAAATGTCAATAATACGATACAACACACACAGACACACACACAAACACACACTCGTAATGAACTCGACAACTCGGCACGCGAGTAAATTACTAATACGCAACGTAAGCCGCACGTCTGGTGGAAAATCGAGTGCGAGGCAAGTGCAGCTGACCGACTGAAAGTGTGCCACATGCGGCATGTGTTCATTTATCATCACTCGGCTGTCATGTTAAGCCAGCCAGCGTGATTTGTCCAACTTTGATCCAGAGCCGAGTGCCACAAGGGCGTGGGCCTGACACAAACATATTTGATGGCTTCACTTGTGTGGATTTTTTTATATTCTTGTATTTCTTGTATTTCTGTTTTCTGTGCGTGTTAGCACTTACTTTTCTGTGGCAAAAACTTTTATTCTTACAAAGCGCCCAATTCCGTGCACTGTTATAGGAACATTACGCTTAAGCGATTAGTTAATTATATTAATTAACGCAACTTGCTCTGTTCCACATAGCCTTGACATATGCCCATTCAATTTGACATTAATTGTAGGTTATTAATTAGGAGTACAAAATTTAATACAAATTTAGTTTCGAGTGGATCAATTAATTTAAATTTGGGTAGAAAAGTGACGATTAAAGTTTTATAAAAACTATATTCCGGGCAAAGTCTGGTGAAACTTTCCACCGAATAGCCTATATCCCTGTACGTTTTTCCATAAGAAAACACATTTTTCACATTTTGCAAAAACTGTTTTTAAGCATAGTGGAATTGGGCTATAACTTACACATTATATCTCCCTCTCTCACTTTCTCACTCTCTCCCTCTCTCTCTCTCTCTCGCCCTGTCTCCCTTTTTTATATCTCATTCCATGTCTTGTTCTTAGACTACCTTTACTTCATTTCTTTTAGTAATCAGTATCTGTCTGTTAAAGTATTCGTGCATGAATTTCTGAGTATCGAATAGGCTTATATGTTAGATCAATTTTTAGCTGGACCTACTTAACATATATTTGTATAATCCTGAGTCTAATTTGAAGTACCATTTATAAAAATAAAAAGTAAGTTGACCTGTGATGAGTGCAGCTTTATTTATTGAGTGTAAATATTGCGTTTTTCTTTTAATAAAAAAGCCAAGGAAAATTCGACTATCTACACTTCCGCCAGCTGGAAAGGAAAATAAATGGCGACAGACAACGGCCATGGCAAAGAGAAATGGCCAGAATGGCGCTAAGCGAAAAATAATGTGAAATGTAAATGAAATAAATAAGCCTCGACGCTGGTCAGTTTTGCACGAGTCTGCGCTGAAAATGGACGCCGGCTGCTACCATAAAATAGTATGTGAATTATTTTCAACTCATATGAAACATAATTGAATGGAATAGAGGGATAAAAATTCCGCACCAAGGTGTAATTTGAAATGCAAATGACCAGCAGAAATTAGTGCAATCAAATTGAATTGACAATCAATAAAATTGAAAAGGCCAGAGCACGTAAATGTGTGTAGGTAAAATGTGCAAATGCTTTTGTTGATGAGTTTCACAATCAGTTTTAGTGTGGGGCAGGTCAAGAGAGTTCCTTCCCTGCAAAATAAGATGACCAGATGAAGCCAAGGACTGGCCCGGCTTTTGCTGTATTTGCCCAGCACTTCGACATGACATTTTATTGTTCAATCGCGCGCCGGTAAAGGTCATGTGCTAATCACAGCGACCTGGTGCGGATGTGAGCTTGGAATTCGTCGCCAAACTCTGCCATGTCCGTAACTGCAACAGCTGCCGGATGTAATAAAAGCAACGAGCAGGGGAGAAACAGGAGGTCGCAAATGCACCGGAAGTGCAGGCGGTAACCGTCTACTTTTGCTGTCCATTTGCCCAGCAGCTTGGACCGACATGGCATTTTGTTAGTGTCGATAAATCGCGCGCCGGTAAATTTGAGGTTCCGTTGTGGCAGCTGTTATCGCCGTTCGCGAGCTTTCAGGGCTGGTATTTTAATTTTTGCGATGAATGTGAGCATTTGTAAGGGCAAAGGTATCGTCGGCCCTTAACACATCTGCACAATGCAATCCGTAAGCAAGGCCAGAACGAACAGTAGCTTTTTATTATGGACCGAGAACTCAAAGTAAACACAGCTTTATTGACAAAGAACCTAACGCAATCGTCTGCAAGTGGCGCTCGAATAAGTCATGTTGAGGTTCGACAAACTGCACTACAGTGAAGGAGCAGGCAGAGATATCGGTGTCGCATAGCACACACGGATTCCATAAGCGAGCCAACAAAGTGTTGCTCAAAGTTCTTGTCAGTAAGATGTCAGCTTTGGAGCCTGCCTGCACGCGCCTGGTAGTTTGTTACCGCCTGATGTCCTTGTTGACGATATTCCTTGTGTGTTCGATTTTTTTTTTTACCACACCAAATTGCACTCAGCAGAAATCGCTTTGAGGTTGCCGATGTGTTGGTCTCAGCCATGTTTATTATTTTATGACACGGCAAAAACAGTAATCCGCCGTCACAGACATTTTCCCGCGTGCTGTTATGCCAATTTCAATCTTTTGCTGAATGCAATGTTTGCTTCTTTTATTTGTTTGAAAAGGGCAAACGTTGCTTTTGATGTGCGAGGCCCTTATTTATGCTACAATAAAATCAGCACATTGTCTACCATCCGGGAGACTAGGCACTAAGAATATACGACTACAGTGAGAGAGGCGTTTCCATATTGATTTCGCTCAGACTACAGGGTATATGAAACTCAGATAGTGTCCACACTTAGCTATATATTGACTATATTGAGAACGTCGTTTCCATATTCTTTTGGGTCAAAATACAGGGTCTATGCAAGTAGGCGCTCGATATATAGTCATATTTATGTTCAGAGCTTGCATTTACTTTGCCACTAAACAGTATATAATCTATACGAGTGAAGGTAGCTAGCATAGATATCGGTGTCGAATAGCCACACTACGGTATATCATATAGAAAGTCGATATTTGCAAACAACAGTGT